GAACTCCGTCTTCTTGGCGCCCTTGAGATCCTCGGGGTGAAATGCAACCCCCGCCCCCGCAATGGTCTCTTGTGGCGGGAGTGGCTGGGGCTTCGACGCCCGATGTAGAATGCCTTGAGAAGACTTGTCATTCGCGACCCAATTCCTGAACTCCTGCAGCGATTCATGCAACGAAGCCCGTTGGGCCCTTGCCACGATTCCCCGTGCTGACACAACATGCAATGCTAAGTTCTCGACCGTGACAGAAAGCGGGCTCTGGAGGATGGCTAACCAGTGGCCCCAAGGCGGGCCCCTGTCAGCTATGATCATCAAATGCGCCCCTGTCGGACGAGACCCGTGAAGACACAAACTCGCTGAGATAAACTGTTGACTTTGCTTATCACCGTTGCCTCTCTGCCTGTGGCCCTGAAGGCCTTTGAAAACAGCGTGAATTCTTGTCCACCACTGGCTCCTCTGATCACGCAACGGCAATTCGCGCATGCGTAGCGTCTGCCGCAACGCCTGAACTGAGACACTGGGCCCCGCTGCGCGCGAAGGTCCAGGAGTGACCTGTGGACCGTGATGGAACAAGATGCTGGTCTCGGCCGCTGTGGCCCAGGAAGCGCACAAATTTGAGACCGATGTGCAACCAGAAGGGTTAAGCCAATATGATGCGGAAGAACGAAGATGCGGCGACACTGAGGCCAACATAATACCACTAGGCATACATCCAGCGTCGCGCCTGGCGTTGGACCACACCTCGGCTGGGGTGGCAAAACAGACAGGGGACGCCGCATCAGGGTCACATCTCGAGCACGCCTTGCTACTATCATCGAAAGCCGGGGGGTCTCCCAAGTTAGGTGGGGGGTCGGGAACCTGGGGCGCCACGGGCCTAGCACTAACGGACTGCACGCGCTGCCTAGACTCCCCCAAGCCCTTGATCACCTGCTTTGGGGCCGAACCACCAGGGGAGGGCCCGGCGCCAGCCCCGATGGGGGGCCCCGACGAGCCCAGGGGCCCCAGACAGACCGCCAACCGACGGCCCCGACGACGACAGCCCCACAGACGCCTCCAAAGCACTTGAAGGGGCGGGGTCCAAACCACAAAAGTTAAGCTCATCAGCCCACGGGTCTTCCTCGTCGAGCAGGAGAGCAAAATCAGGGTCGGCGGCCTCGTACCCCCTTCCATTAGACACCACTGCCGCGTCGGGAAAATTGGGGCCACGAGGCTGCTCAACAGACGGGTGACAATTCCCGAGCAATGCTTCGCACATCAGAGAACGTTTTTCCTGCGCCGAGGCTCGGGCAAGAGCGCGCTCCAGCCTGGCCCGAGAAGACTTGGAGTCAGGCGCGGGCTCCGTCTTGGGCCTCGCTGCCCGAGGAAGCTTCCTCGGAGGGTCCAGCGCTCGAGTCTGTAATAGTAGTCCTGAACTCCTGAATTGCATTTCCAACCCGACGCGCGGTCTCCACGGGGCCGCTCGCACGGGCAGGGTGTCGCATATGAATGGCAGAGAAGAGCGGCTGCATACCAGGTAGTCGATCACGGTGTCTGGCTTGCCCTTCTTCTGCTTGCAGGTCCCCTGTACGTCCGCGGCGCGGATGACTGCGTCCAGCTGCTGGGGAAATCCAGCCTTGGAGAGAACCTCTGGGGTCATCTTGAAGCCCCCGCGCAGCGCCCGCGGCATCTTCAGCGCCTTGACCAGGGCTCCGATCCTCTGGCACCGCAACCTGTTCTTGCCTCGCATCTGAATGGATGGATGTCCGTACAGTAGGATGAATACGAGCGAATAACCTGCAACATTTCGCACCATCGGTAGAAACCCATCCAAAGCTGTTTGGCGCGGGTCTCGAAGACGCTTGGGCGCAACATACGCTTCCTCCAGCTTCCGAGCCTGAAGGTGAGCTTGGGCAATGAAGAACTCGCCCCCTTCATTTGAGCGGGCCGTCTTGCTCTTGCCGACGATCTTGCCAGAGTGTCGTGCAGCATTGTGGTGCAACCGGAGTCCTAGCTGGCGACTCTTGCTATCAAAACTCCTGACCTCAGACTTCAAGTGGACATGAGTCTCCGTCAGGGCGAAATATGAGTATTCTCTAGACTTGGATTCCACAGACTTCCACGCCTTCCCATTGTCAGACAGACTGGTGATATTTGCACAAAAAAATACCATGGTAATATCTTCTGTCTCCCCGTGTGCCTCGACTTGTGCGGGTCGAGGCTGACCTGGTACCCCTAGTCAATGTGATTGATCACCGCCAGCCGCCGTAGCCGACGCAGCAGTCCCCTTGCCTTTGGCCTTGGTGGCCATGGCAGCCGCTGCAAACTTGGCCTCCGACAGCTTCTTGGCCTCCTCCGCGATGCGCTGCTGCTCGTTGACGCTGGCGGCGGGGCCCTCTGACGACGACGTGGCCTGGCTGGCCGCTGTCGCCGCTGCGGGGCCCGTGGGGCCCTCGGCTCCTGCTCCTCCAGCTGCTGGATGAGCCTTCGGGGCCTCGGCCGTCGACTGCTCGTCCTGCTGCTTCTTGCCGTTCTCCGCCTTGCGCTTCTTAGCAGCCCTCTCCTCGATGATGCGCCGATGTTCTTTCATGTCCGTGAGCCACTTCTGCAGCTCCGACTCCTTCTCCTGGAACTGGGCCTGCACCCTTTTGGTCTGCTGCTTGAGAGTGAGCAGCGCTGCCTTCTCCTCAGGGGTGGCGTCGAGCCCGTCGATGCTGCCGAAGAACGTCTCGTCCCACTCCACATTGAGAATCTTCTGTTCACTCGCTTCCACGCCCTGTGGTGTGCTGCCGAGGCCCTCCGCCTCTGTGACTACCATGGCCGCCGCCTTGCGAGCATCCATAGCCTTGGCCAGATTGATGGCGGCCGTAGCTTCTTTCGCCTCCGCAGCTGCCAGGTTGCTGCGTATGCGTAGTACTGCCGCACCAGCTTGTTCGCGTACGTGTTCAGCATTGCGCTTGGCGACGTCAGCACGGCGCAGCGCCTCGACCACGCCCAGCTCTGGCCCCTTGTCGGCCGCCTGGCTGAGCTTGGCGATCTGCATCTCGAGGTCCTTCTTCACCGCTGGATCGGTGGCCGCCGCCAGAGCCTGGCGTAGGTGGCGCTGAGCGTCGCCACCGCCCTTGCAGCCCTTGCCGCTTGTGCGGTTCGGGGAAGACGCGCGCCTCAGGATGCCTGGAGGTAGTGGCTGACCAGGACCGGGAAAATATTCAGATTCATTGCCGCTGTCTGCGTCATAAAACCCGTTTTCATCCTGACTCCCGTCGAACTGAACGCGCCTCCTGGGGCGGAACAACTTGACTTCGGCTTTGCAATCACTGCAAACAAGGTTCTGGCGACGCAGGGTGGTGTTCCACTCGCACCTGTTGCAATTCTCACAGCGGGTCCAGCGCTTCTGCTCCGCAGCCATTGCACTCCCGTGCGTTCGTCGATGCACGTTCTATCCTGGCAGTGTAGAACGGACAGAGCCCCTCGGGCGCTCCTCGGAAGCCCGCGGGACGGGCCCAAAACTCGGGCCCAAGTTGCTTGAGGGGGGAAGAAGGCGGAGGGGGGGATAATCTATACGGAGGCGGAAGTGGAGGAGGAGAAGGATGAGGAGAAAGAGGAGGGGGAGAATGAGGAGGAGGAGGTGGAGGAGAAGGAGGGCGGAGGAGGATGATGAAGAAGAGGAGGGGGATGAGGAGGAATAGCAGGAGGAGGAGGATGACCAGCAGGAGCAGGAGATGACAAAGGACGAGGAGGAGGAGAAGGAAGAGCAGGAGGAGGTGGATGATCAGGAAGACTGCCCATATCACTCTGCCTCCTCACTCTCCTTCTGCCGCTCTCCTTCTCCCTTCCTTGCTTACTATCCTCTACCACCCTCCCTCTACCACTCTTATGGGCGGGCGAGGAGGAGGAGGAGGGGGAGGAGGAGGAGGAGGGGGGGGGGTGGAGGCGGAGGGGGAAGTTTGGTTGTCTTCTTATATCTATATATACACATATATAAAGAGCATGTACACAACGACTGAGGAGGAAGTGGAGGAGGTGGAGAAGGATGATGGGAAGGAATGGTACGATTGACAGTGGAGGGGGATTCGCACGCTGAGGATGACGAGGCTGAGGCACCACTCATGATCAAAGTCCTCCTGCCCCCATTGCCGATCCTCGGGCCCTTCCTTCATCCTCGCACGCATCATCCTCATCTTCTTGGCACCTTTCCAAGGGGGCGGGGAGGGGCAAGGGGGAGGGGAAGTGCCAGGAGGCGGCATGGGGGGGATATGAGGGGGAAAATGAGACGGAGAAGGAGTTGGAGGAAGAGGAGGTTGATGACTCACTCTTCCACCCTCCTCCTCACCCCCCCATGTCTCTCTTCTCCTCCCCATGCACCCTGTCCATCACCATTGTGCGTATACGTGCTCATCCTCACTCCTGTGGGAGGAGGGGGAGAAGGAGGAGGAGGAGGAGGAAGAGGAGGAGTGGGAGTGCGTGGGAGTGTGTGTAGTGAGATGATAACGATTTGGGCGGGGGACTGGTCTGATGATGAAGAGCAGGTGCAGGAGCAGGTGGGGGAGCCACTCCTCCTCCTCACCCTCCTCCTGCTCGCGGCGAAGTGCGCGCCGTGCAAGCTGGTCAGGTCGGCGTGTTTTAAGGGGCGCGCTGGACCGAGGGGGCCGTCGGACGAGACGATGAGCCCACCATGGGCCAGGTCGAAGGAGAGCAAGGTTAAGAACCGCATCCAGGAGCTCGAGTCGGAGATTGCAAAGCTCAAGTCGGCCAAGCTGGGCGCGGGTCCGGGGAGTCTCGCCGAGGCGAAGGACGTCGACGCCAACGGCAACGCTCGCGACTCGGGCGGCGTCGAAGGGCCCAAGGCCGACGAATTTTAATGTCACAAGCGCATCAAGGATATCGAAGAGCAGGTGGCGCTGCTGGCGACGACCACCTGCGCTGACGAGAAGCTGCGGAAGTTCGTTGACGATCTCAAGAGGGAGAATGACGAGCTCCACTCGCGCCTTCAGGCGTCGCGGCCCGTCTGCGCACAGCTTCGGACCATGTCGCACAGGGCCAAGTTGGGCGAGAAGAAGGTCAATGCTATGCGGGAGGCGGTCGAGACAAAGAGGAGGCAGAAGGCAGCCCTTGAGGAGGAATTGCTGGCTGCCGAGGCCGACCTCGACACGCAGGAGAAGGAGGTGGCTGCGCTCAGTGCGCAGCTGCCGGAGATCACGACGAAGGTTGGCGGGGCTCCTGGCAAGGCAGAGCTCTGGGCCCCCACCGCAGGGGTCGAGGTCAACGCCGAGGCGCTGGGCGAGCTGCTGGCCTCCAACGGCGTCGGCGAGGAGCAGAGTGGCACTCTGGCCTAGGCTGGCGGCTGTCATCCCGCAGGCGCTGCGCTCTGGCTGCGCGGCCGTCCGCTCGGGCGTCGGCGAGGGCGGGGCAGGCGAAGCCCCTGCCCCTGCGGCGAGCGCCCTTGATTTGGGAGCCGTCGCGACTGAGCGGGTCGACGGGGCCTCGTCTGAGGAGCTGCGGGCCTGCCTCGTGGGCGTCCACGGTGAAATAGGAGCTTCCCGAGGGTTTGGATGAGCTGCGTGCAGCTGCTAAGCGCGTTGCCGAGAGTGCGCTCGCATTCCTGCCCCCCGATGCCAAGCGAGGCAATGATGGAGTTCGATCATGGGGGTTTCAGTCCTTGCAGGAGAAACAGCGCGTTGCGTGGTCGCTTGGAAGGGGGGGGGGGTGGAACCGGGCCCGCCCCCCTCCCGCGCCGGAAGGGGGGGGTTCGAACCCCCCCCCGCTCGTGACGGAGGGGGGGTGGGGGTTTCGAACCTCCCCCCCCTTGCTTCCCCTCTCCGCGGGCCGTCGCTGCGCTTGGGTCGGCGGCGGCGGGCGGCGGCGGCGGAGACGACGATTTTCATTTTTTGGCCGGCGGCGGCGCCTGCGGCGGCGGGCGGCGGTGGCGGGGAGCGTCGACGGGGACAACGGTAGTGGCGGTGGTGGTGGGGTGTGGTGGTGGTGGTGGTGGTGGCGGTGGTGGTGGTTGTGGTGGTAGTAGTGTGGTGGTTTGTTGTGGTGGTGGTGGTTGTGGCGGTGGGAGGTGGTGATGGTGGTGGTATGGTGGTGGTGTGGTGGTGGTTTGTGGTGGTGGTGGTGGTGATGTTGGGTTGTGGTGGTGGTGGAGGTGGTTTGGTAGTAGTGTGGTGGTGGTTTGTGGCGGTGGTGGTGGTGGGTTGTGGTTGTGGCGGTGGTTTTTCGGGGTGGTGCTTGTGGTGTTGGTGGTGGCGGTGGTGGTGGTGGTGCGGTGGTTTGTGGTGGTGGTGGTGGGTTGTGCTGCTCGCAGTGGTGGTGGTTGTGGCGGTGGTGGTGGTGGGGGCGTGGCAGATTGTGGTGGTGGTGGTGGTAGTGGTGGTGGGTTTTTGCGGTGGTGGTGATGGTGAGTCGTGTTGGTGGTGGTTGAGCTGGTGTGGTGGTGGTTTGTGGTGGTGGTGTTGGTGGTGGTGGGTTGTGGTGGTGGCGGTGGTTTGTGGACATTTGTGGTCGTGGTTGTGGTTGCGGTGATGGTGGTGGTGGTGTGGTGGTTTGTGGTGATGGCGTTGGGTTGTGCTGCTGGTAGTGGTGGTGGTTGTGGCGTTGGCGGTGGTGGTGTGGTAGATTGTGGTGGCGGTGGTAGTGGTGGTGGGTTTTGGTGGTGGTCGTGTCGGTGGTGGTGATCGTGAGTTGCGGTGGTGGTTGTGGTGGTGGCGGTTGCTGTGGTGGTGGTGGTGGTTGTGTGGTGCTGTTGTTGTTGTTGGCGGTGGTGGTGGTGGTGGTGGTGGGGTGAGGCGGTGGTGGCGGTGGTGGTGGTAGTGGTGATAGTGGTGGTGGCGGTGGTGGTGGTAGTGGTGGTTATCGTCGTTGCGTCCCCGCCGTCGCCGGTGCCAGCGCCGGCGCGCTGCTGGCCGCCGCCAGCGCGGGCGCCGAGAGGGGAGGGGGGGGTTAAAACCCCGCCCCAACAATTCATGCTTCAGCCCCGAACGCGGCGCTCGATGGCGGAGGGCGCCCGCGCGGCCGCAGCGAAGTTCGGGGGCCGCCTTGAGCATGCAGCCAAAAAGCACCATACCGACGCAAGAAACCTCAGAATCTTGCGGGTCGGTGTCGAAATTCAACAATTAAATATTATGCTTTGTTTCGAACTGATACGTAAAGGAGAAGGAGGAGGAGGAGGCAAAGGAGGAGGAGGAGCAGCAGCAGCAGGTGGAGTTACTCCTAATCTTTATCATCCTGCTGCTCCTCCGCCGTGTCCTCTTTTGTAACACTCCTCTTCATGCTCCTCCTCAAGTTTCTCCTCTCCCTCCTCCTCCTCTTGATCATCATCATCATCCTAGTACTCCCCCGCCTTTTACCCATGGGCGGTGTAAGAGGAGAGAGAGAGAGAGAGGACATGAGGAGGAGGAGGAGGAGGAGGAGGAGGAGGAGGAGGAGGGGAAGGGGCCATGAATACAAATATTTCTGTGGGGGCGTCACAAGACGGATCTATTGGTAGGCCGCCGCAAGTTATCCCATGTGCAATCCACGGCCGCGTTTGCCCGGCAGGCGCGACCTCTTGGGGCCCGGTAAGCTTCGGGGGGGTTCCAAGTTTGACTTCCTGACTAGTGTCGGCGGCGAGCGAGGGGGGCAAGTGAGAAGGATAATGTCTTCTCAGAAGGCGGCGGGGCTTCTTGGAAGCCCTCGCGCCTTGTGAGAAGGTATGTGTGTCTTCGGGGAAGGCTCAGACAGCTTCTCAGATGGCCGGGGGCTTCCGAGCCTTTTGAGAAGGCCCGCCCCTTCTCATTTCCCTCCTGGGCGTGCCACCGATAGGGGAGTGGATAGCACGGCTGGGGCCATGATATCTCCTTGGATGTCGTGCCCCTCTCTTCTCATTTCAACACATCCTCTGGTCTCTCCCTCGTTCGCGCACACGCCACAGGCCAAGATCTGGGAGCCCTCCTCTTGGACGCCCCCCTCTTGGACGCCTCCGACAGGTGGGTTGGCGAGGTCGTCCTCCACCTGACCACCTCCATGAGATTCTGGACCCTCGGGGAAGTGTAACAAGGGGAGGTTTGGCGCTGCCAAGCATCTCACACGCCTTCTAACCTACAGCAGGCGGCATGGGTCAGCGGATGCACGTCTGGGACGCGTGCCAGCTGTGCGTATAATTCAGTTCTCATTTCTGTGCCCGTGCATCCGATGGGTCTTTTTGCCCTTCGGCTCTCCTCCCCCCTGGACCTCCGACGTAGTGTTCTTGTTCAAGTCGTGGGCCCCGAGCTCTCCCGACTCAATCCCTGGGACCCGTTCTTCGACGCTGGTCATCCTTTTGATGGCCCTGGCGCCCAATTGCTGACCCGCATGGGCCTTCAATTGCGTGAAATCAAAGACATATGCCCTCGAGAGAAAAAACACGATGACCATGGCCAAGATGTCGCGGGATCTTGTCGACGCCGATCTTGGTCAAGGTCCATGCTGGCTGTCGCCGATTCGCGAGGATGATCCAGGAGTTGACGATGACCAAGATGGACGCTGACCAAGATCGACACCAACGTTTCCGCGTTCAGTCTTGGTCATGGCCATCGTTTTATTTCTCTCCATGTCCGTCGTTCTTCGGAGTCAGCTCCCGGAGTCGGTGCTTTCTGCTGTCGCCAGTCTTTTCTTCTTCTTTTCGATCTCCTGGGGCCCTGACAGGGCCCCGGGACCGTCAGAAAACGGTCCATGACGACGAGCAGGCCCGTTAGAGGGGGACCCAGTTTTCTAGGTTTCTACGTTGCGAAACAATCGGCTAGACGTAAGAGGGAGCCTTCGCCAGAGTGCGACCTGTGGTGCGGGCCCACTGGGGCCCCCCGATCGTCGAACGCGAGGCGGCAGCGGCGTCTTGCGCGCCTCTGCTTGGTCACCCCGCGGCCCCCGCCGTTTAAGCCGCGCAACCAAGTTTTACTCTTACTCAGGGTCACTCTTTGCGTGTAGCCGAAACAAGCCCACCTTAGTTGCCTCGATACGCGCGTTCTGAAACTCAATTAGTCCCGTGTTCAAGACGTCCGTGTCAATACGTTGCGTGTTGGCTCCACGTATTGGACCACGTTTTGGCGAATGTATCGCGTCGGAGTTGCGTGTTCAGCCTGCGTGTTGAGCTCCGTATCAGTACGATGCGTGCTGCGTGCTGCGTGTTGCGCATCGGAGCATCTAAGAAGCCCGCACTTCCAGGGGCCACGCTGCGAACGGATCACGACGTCGGGGGGGGTCTCGCAGGCCTAGAGGTTGACACCAACACCAAGATCGGCGGTGTGCCTCCACCGAGGGAAGACGATCCCGATCTCGGTGATGGTGGTAATATTCTGGCTTCCAGGGTGACCGAAATATTACCACCAACACCGAAATCCAGGAGCATCTTCCCCTCGTGGAGGCAAACCCCTGTGCTGGTGTTGGTGCCAATTTCCAGGCCTCCAAGGGTCTGCGCTTCCTGCGGCGCGCGCGGTCCTGTCCGCGGCCCGCCGGCCGTCGCGGTCCGTTTCGACCAGCGAGGCACCGGCTGCATCGTGAGCGCCCGAGGCCCGTGGGCTGGCTCTCGGGCAGCAGGCCAGTGCTCTGCCACCGCCCTCGCGCTCGCTCTTCCCCTCCTCCCCCTCCTCCTCCTCCTCCTCCTCCTCCTCCTCCTTCTCCTCCTCCTCCTCCTCCTCCTCCTCCTCCTCCTCCTCCTCCCACATCCCTCTCAGGCCCTGGCGTCAGCCTCGTCGTATCTAGGCCTCTCAAGTGGGGTCCGAGTAGACGGGGTCGGAGGATCGCGTCGCGTCGCCGATGCATCGCCGATGCGGTGCGATGAGGAGCCCGACTGTCGTCTCGCCGACGGCACCCATGCATCGCCGACGACGCCGATGCATCGCCGATGCATCGACGATACGGTTCGATCTTCCGACCCCATTCACTCTGACCCCATCTGGGAGGCCTTTAACGTAGCGGGGCAGTTGTAAAGGCGCAGGGGGCGTCTCCACAAGTTTGCCGCCCCCTTGCGCTGGGTGGCATCCCGCGCCAGTTACGTTCCCTCCTTGCAACCTCGCTGGCCATTGGAGCAAAACGGCAGAAGTTTGATCAGATGGTGGGAACGCCTCCCGTTTCATCAAGTCTGGGCACGGGGATCTTTGCAGCGCTGGCGTGGCAATCTGGAGCTCCGACCCCCGAATGTCGCGCAGCCCGTCGATGGCTGGCGCGGCTTCTGGGGAGAAGCTGCTCCCTGGGTGCCGCCTGGGGAGAGCAGGCGAGGGAACACGAGGAGAGAGATAAGGTCAGGGAGGAGGGAGGAAGGGGAGGAGGAGGAGGCGAAGGAGGATGGGTAGGAGGAGGGGGAGGAGGAGAAGGAGGAAAC